CATAAATATCTGTTTCCACTTAGTTTACATATGTTTGTGAAATTGTAAATTTAAAAAATTAAATTTTTAATATGATAAATCATAATCATTTATTGTAAGAACCAATGGTCAAGATTGGTTAACAAAGTTAACACAATAAACTTGGTTAACATTTAAACCAGCCCCTATATGTGTGTGTGTGTGATGATAATCAAATGAAAGCCATAAAAAGGGTATAAATTTGTAAGAATTGAGGTAAAAAAATATTTTTTGCATTATGTTTTTCAATAAAAACTATGATTTAGGATATTATTTTTACATATTTTTTATGTTCACTTTATGAAAAATTTACATGTGAATTCTTTTTGTTCACTTACACCATCTCCAACCAAAATATTTTTTTATCAAATTTTATGATTCATCATCTCCTTCTTATATACTTTAAGGTTTTGTAAAAAAAAATTCACTCTATCAATGTGAGATGATAAACTCAACATTACAATCAAATATTTGAGTAACTTTTTGAAAAAAGATGGTTGTTGATACACACATTGAGCCTCACGTCGATGTCGCTGATACAAACGTCCAGCCATAAACTGACGTTAGTGATATTCCATTGGTGACTCTTAGGGCGTCGATGGTACAGCTGATGGTACAGAAAATGTTGTGATTCTCTCTCAGGATAGGTCAGTAAGCCCAATCAAAGCTTGTTTTCCTACTCTTTTTTACTGAAGGTCTCTTAGTGATCTACCTACAGGCAAGCATAGACGTTTTTCCTCTCCACCTCATCTTGGTTTTAAGGTTAATTCTTCTTCTCCTCCTGAGATTTTATATGCTCTCCCTCACGAAGTGGTGGAAATACTCAGTGATATCATCGTTCATTATCGAATGCTTGGTTCTCAACAGGATTCTATGCATGCTACCTTTTCTAGCAAGTTTGACAAACTTCCAGCCAGAGTTACTATTATGGAAGAGAACGGATATGCAGACCATATTTGATCATGCTCGTACTTTTACAAAGCTTGAGGAACGAATTGATGGGTTCTCTACTACTCTTTCTCGCACCAATCATGTGCTTGCGGATTTTGCTACTAAACATCTGGATTTCGTCTCAAATGTTCTCAAGGATATTAAGTCTCACAATGATCAGAAAGATGCTCGAGCTTCAACAATTATTTTTGCCATTATTTACCTCTCGGCTAAACTCTCAAAATATATATATGCATCCAAATCTGAGATCCCTCAGTCTTCTTTAGACGACCTTAGTCTTTGTATGATTGCTCTATCTGATTCTCAATCAGTTATTCTCAAGTCTCTAGCAGATCTACGTGCCCGCTCAGATACTTAGGTCGAGGTTAATCAAACTATTCTTCGCTCTCTTGGGGATCTGCATACTAAATCTGATGCCTATGCCCAGATCTCTAAGATAGTTTTAGAGAAGAGTCCTATTGAAATTCTCTTTTGACTTGCGTACCCGTCAGTTTACTAAGTTAGATCAGGTGTTACTGAATCAAGTTGGTCAGCATATTCAGGATCATCATGGTCTTATGGTTGGTATTCACTATAGTAATTCTTGGTTGCTTGGTGTTATCCCTACTCCCTTTCCACCAATTTCAACTGAGGGGAAGAAGTCGGTTGTCCATGATAGTGACAACGAGGAGACCTCAACTTCTTCTTGTGATCATTCTTTGAGTAGCGATGATGCATCGGCCGATCAAGATGCTTCTTTTAAGAGGGGTTGGCATATCAACATAGGGATGTAGTTGTTTTATCTGTTGAGGGGGATCAATCCATTTCTCAGTCTGATATTATTTCTCAATCTATTGTTCCAATTGACTTATCTGTTGATGGGGAGCAACAAGCAATTGTTTCCTCTCGGGTTACTATTACTTCTATATCAGAGGGAATGGATGCCCTGAGTTGTCGAGAAGAAAAAACACCTATGAAACCAGATGAAGAAGTTGTTGAAGCTAAATCAGCTAATTACAAAGGATCGGGCAGAAGGTACTAGAAATGAAAAACTTGTGCTTCAGGCTCTGAGTCCCATTAGAATATTCTGCCATTCTTGGGTATTTCGATTGAGGATGCAGCTAAATCAATAGACCTTCAAAAGCAATTTGATGAAGCCAATAAGTCTCGGTCTTTAGTGGAACAATTAGCAAGGAAAGAGGTTGATACAACTGAGCTAACCAATTCTCTGAAAAAGAAAGATGATCAACTCAAAAAAGAAAAGAGGATAAAGAGGTACAATGATTCAATCCTTCGTCGATATATCAATACTTCAATTATGAGTACCTAAATAAAAGGTCCTCAAACATTAACCCTTGATTCAAATCAGATCTTTCTAGTCATTGGTTGAGCTAATGGAGTGGTGAGAACTGAAAAACTTTCTTGGATGCATGCATACGGAGCATCTGAATGGATTGAGATAATCAAATTTATCAAAAAAGTCAAAATTTGTATCGTGAGTATGTCTTGAGTCATTTTGGTCTGTTGATGAAAAAGATCTCAATAATTAAGAAGCATTACAAGCTATATGCCCCTCCACAACTCTCTCCTCTTAAGATGCTATCGACTAAAGTTGGCTCGGTTCAATCCATATCTGCTTCTACCTCTTAATCTGCTAAGAAAAGAGATTTTTTCCTTCAAAAGATTTGAAAGGAAGGTAAGGTTCTCAATGTCTCATTCTTAAACCTTACTCTTCCTACTGATGGCACTTGTCTAGAGGGAACTATCATGTCTACATCCGAGCATGACAATAGTTGATTTTTGGGATACGAGTTGTTGCCATCGATTTTTTTCGTGCATCTGCAATTACAATAGCCAATCCTCATCTACTTCGTGTGATACTTCATATTATCAAAATTGGTGAAGCTAGAAGAGTTTTCTATAATTTGGTGTTTTATGAACTGAAGAAAAGAAATGCAGTTGTAGCCTCAGATACAGTAAATGTTATGGAAGTGGATGATGATTTTGCTGGTTGATCTCTTTATGTGTTTTCTTCTTGAATCTTATTTACTATATGTACTTTTACATTCCTGATCTAATATAAATGCAATATATATTTTATTATATACCTTCAATTTTTCATCATCTATTTGTTGCATTCTTTGATTCATGAGTTGTTTTATACATGGTAAAAGAATAAAAAAAATCTAAGTAAAAAGAACTAAAAAGGAATATACATGGGTCACCGAATTTATGAGTTCTTGTTCTCGATAAATTTTACAAGTCTAACTACCTTGTATTTATTTCATTCTGAATGTTTGTGCCATCATCAAACACGGGAGATCGTTGGGAAACATATTGATTTAGCTATGACCCTCCGGCTCCGATGTGTCTTACTATCCTATCAACACTTACTTTATTGGTTTTTTGTATATTGGTTTTTTGGTACATATTTGAAATTCTTGGCAAAAACGAAGACTAGCCAAAGTCAAGATAGAAGGTCACCGATGTGGTTCTATGGATCAATTGTCTGAAATATACACAAAGACTCCAAGTAGCTAATTTGAAGCTTGAAGTCGTTTTGAAGTTACTAGCCAGTTGAAAGAATCTTCCCACATACTGGCCATATCTCTGCAACCTTTGTACCTGATAGGGACATTTCTTGTTCAATAGGTTTGTCTCTACATACTTTCACATGTGAAGGTACAAGTGTGAAACACTACTATGTGTATGCGGTGTATGATAAAAAGGACATGTCAATAGTGCATAAAGTCAATGATGTCATCTTATCCCAAGGTGACAAGTGTTCCCAAGCATTAAATGCATAGGGTGGTATAAAAGGCATAATGCATTTCTCATGCAAACAATCTTCCTAGATAGAATTCTTTAAGTGCATTTTCAAGGCAATCAACATCCTCTTCTACTCTCATGTAGGTGAAGAAAGCTCAGTGTTCTTTGTTCCTTGCAAGTACTTCATGTGTTGTTATTGTTTAGGTTAGGATAAATCTTTTTCTTATTTCGCAAGAAACTATATTTATATGTGGTAATTCTTCATATACATCAATAAGAATTAAAAGTTAAAAGAAATCTGAGTAATTGTATCCAATCCCTCCCCCTTCTATAGGCATGGCAACGGGGCGGGGATGGGGGGGGGTTTTGTAATCCCCGGCCCCAGTCCCTGGCGGGTACGGGGATTAACATCTCGTCCCCGATCAAACCTCTATCAATCCTCGGTCAAACCCGATCAAACCCCATGAAGAACATCCCTTAGTTTGATTCTACCGGGGATCCCCGGCCCTGACCCCGGTTTGAATAATATCCCCCAGCCCGGCCCCGACCCCGGTTTGAGCCTATCGAGGATCCTCGGCCCCGGGACCCGTTTTAGCGGGGAATCCCCGTCCCCGTTCGGGTCGGGACAAATCACCATCCCTACCCTTCTATGATTACTTGATGTTTATTGTCATCCCATTTGAGAAACATTGGATTATTTCAAGGGCATTTTTTGTATTAATTTTTTTAAAATGACTTAATAGGAACAAGTGAGGGGTCATGGTTTATTCCATATAACCATTTTGGTTTCAATGGCTTAACAATTAAACCCTAAAGAATCACTCCTATATGACCGAACAAATAAGTTCTCCATACCATTAAACTCATTAAGTCGGTCATTACCAACGTCTTTTTTCACGTTTCACGCTTTCTATTTTGAGTTGATGGATTGAAATTTGAAATGAAATTAACTATTGGCAAATTAAGTAATAGACCAGTTGTTAACCAATAAACTGTTTTAATCCATAAAGTAGCTACGTTTGATAAACAAGCTATGTAAGACGGACAAAAATGCAAATTACCTTGAGATGGCATATTGAAAAATTACTTTAATTCCAAAATAAAAACCATGATTAAATAAAAACTAAAGCCAACAAAGATTCTTGAAACGATAACTGAAGTTGTTTTCCAGAAACTATAAACCATCGTCTTTTCAAAAAGCTAGCTAATAACTTATCAGAGACCACTCGCACCTAGACCGGGTCAGTTCTTCCCGATTAACCCGACCTCTTATTCAAGAGTTTGCCTATATAACATGTAAATTTAATACGGATTATGAAGTGCGAAATTTAAGAAATTCAAATTTTGGTTGCATCAACAAAATAGCAGACGGAAAGAAAATTCCCGAGAACGTTAGATGCTTAAACAAACATCTACTGTATCACATCAAATACAACATGTAAAAGGTAGACACAATTCGACTTAGTTTGTAGTAAGAAAGGGCCTGCAAGTTCTTCTAAAGTAACCGAAGCTTCAACAGGATGACATTACACGCTGTAACGACCTTTTGATGCTCTTGTCTTGGAATCATCCTGCATAACCACATTTGGTGGCACAACATATAAATCGGATTAAAGATATATTCACATGTGCATGACAAGGCTCACCCTACCCAGCCAAAAACAAAAAAACCAAAAGGTCATTGGCCCAGCAACACCACCTGGGATTTTCAGGGTTCAAACCTCGCTGAAGGTGAGAAGTGTGTGACTTTTGCCGTATATACTTTAAAAATAACACATATAAGAGGAGAAACTGAAGGGAAGGCCGAACAGTAATGAGGTTTTACATGAAAGTTGTAGGTGATCTTGTCGTTCACGTCAATGATATCTTTCCACTTTCTTCCGATGGCCATCTACAGATCAAAGGTCAAAAGAGGTCTTATTATGCTAACATCTTAAACCAAGAGTATATACAATGTGAACTCAAATTATAATGTACAAGATGGCCTTAGGGGGATGAATGAGCCAAGAGATGGAGGAGATAAACCAGCCAAGATGCCAGATGATATCAAAATAGCATAATCATTTTCTTGCATCAAAATGTAGCAACATAAATATGACACTATAGCACCTAACATTGTATAAATCTTCATAAACACAGAACTTCAACTAAGATAGCTTTTCGTCCATTGTGTCCCCTTGATTCAAATGAAGTATCTTTATAAATTTGCATATTGGTTGTTTGGTCAATCAATGATGTATCTGTATCATAGTCAAAATAAGTCAATGAGTTTATTAATCGATGAATATAACATCTCAAAGATGTTTCACCTCCTTAGAAATAATATCTTTTTTTGCCCCTTCTTTCGCGATAATAACAACAAACAAGAATTCTTTTATACCAAAAACCAGTTAAGGTGGGGGATCAAACCAAGGTCACACTTTGAAAGGTGGGTCACCTTGCTTGCAAGAAGTACAGAACACAACTTATCAAATTAACTTACGCACACCCATATACACAATCAAACTCCTACAATACCTACTAGCATTTCATTTTCCGATCATCAAGAAACATCCATGTTTCCCAGAACTTCTGAATACCAAACTTGATCATTCATCATTGAAGAGTTATCTTCATCACCGGTGGTTCCTATTTCAAATAGTCACTAACCAAAGTGCCATTTGGTAAAAGAACAGACACCATGACTCCAAAGTTTGGATAAACGATCCGGAGATAAGAGCAAATGGCATTCCATAAATATGTGTATGGGTTTATTCTACTGCCAAATCAGGTGGGTTAGAAGGTTTATGCTATCTGGAAATACTTGCATTATTTCTCATTAAGGGTATTTAGATCTTTTCCTTACTTGTTCTCCAGGTAGTAACAGCCTAACAGGGTTCCTTGTATTATAAATAGAGTCGCAACCCCTCAAGGTTTCATTTTGTTTATTAAATTATCAAATTGCCACGCGTTTATGAGGCTCTAGTCTGTCTTCACGCTGGACTTAACCGTCTTGGGTGTGTGTGTTTTTGGATAAAAACCATCTTGAGTGTGTTAGTCAAAAGATTATAGGCTTCCGTAGTTGCCTAATCATTTCTCGTTTCTCCCCAGTTCTTTACTGTCTGGTTTCTCATCCTAAATCAGTTGAATTGCAGCTAGAACCAGTCAGCAGAATTAATTAACCAAATAATCGACCAGAAAAATGTCCTTTGTATAAAAGTAATAAATGAAGAAAGGGATATCAGCAGCCATCTGATCTTCTCAAAGCATGTTACAAGAAACAACAAGATACATAGCATCCTCCGATAAGGAATTGAAAAGCATGCCATGTGGATGCTTTGCCCTTTTTCGTGTACATCTCTCATCCTGCTTCTGAGAATGCTGATAACATCACATGAACCAAAGTACATATCTAGCACGACAAAGTGATACTGAAGAATATAGTTGATACCTGAGCTGCCTCATTAGCTGCATTCTTAGTCCATAATGAAAGTTTATCCTGCTTTTGACGAACACTAGCAACGACACCACATATTTCATCAGCATCATCAAATTGCTCACCAATTAAGGCCATTAACTACAGAGAAAAATATATCTCAGTCACTTGCTAAAACCAACAAGTAATTTAGAAAGAAACTAACCTTCAGAACTCCCATCAACACTCACAAGGTTAAAAGAAATCATAATGAAGAAAGAGAGAAAAAATATATATACAGTTTCAAACCACATAGTCTCGAGGGTAGCCTTTCTGCTACTAGTAACTGTCCACTTGCCCCCATTAGCACACTGTGGATCTTCCCATTTGGGCTCAATCCCATCTTTGAACAAATGAAATTCAGCATTTCCTGGCAACTTGCTAGGCTTGAATACCTGATCATACAAACTGCAAGAAGAACCAAAATACAATCTTAACATCTAAGACCAAGTTTTCCATCTCCTTTGACCATAAATGAGCTCAATAAATTTCAAGTTCAGCAATCATAGTATCACTGTTAAACAAAGGATAGCTACGCAATTCGTACAAAATCAAGAGAGGCAAGTCAAAACTTTATAATCTAGATTGAAAGCAGATCAAACAATACATACAAGAGGAGTCTTCAGTTCTACACATACATCAAAAAAAGGTATATAGAATATGTAATTAGGGTTTACCACCAAAACTCTTCAACAGTATCGAAGGTATAGACCTTGCGTAGATTATTCCCCCAAGCTGCGCCTTGTTTAAGTTTGGTCTGATTATCAAACCAAAACGTCCACCTCTTATCTAACCTATGGGGCTGCCCCGCCACTTCTCCACTGACATCCACCACCGCCGCCGCCTCATCACTCGCCATTGTTCTCGGTTTTTTTTTTTTTTTCTCTCTCTCTCCCTTGGCCTTCAGAGAAGGGGATTTCAGATGGGTTACCCGTTAGGCCGTCACAGAAACAAGTTGATAAAATTATCAGTCCAAATAGTTGGGCCTATGGACCCCATTTTTGCATTATAAAACAGAACGGGCCGCATCCTTGGCCCAACGAGCCATGGGGTCAGAAAATCTACGAATCTATGATTTATATTACCTTATAAACCAGATTTATTAAAAGTCATAAAAACAATTTTTAATGTACAAAGTATTATATATTTATGCACAAAGTTTTAAAAGTCTTAAAAATAACTCATAATGCATTAAGCACTACTACTTTATGCATTCAACGTTAAAATCTCTTAATCTACAATTAAAATAACATATATTACAAGTTACCAATGCACATTATTATTATTTCTTTTCATGTTCTCAAGATATTTTTGACACATTTAATTCATGCATTCACTCTCTCATACCTCTATGTTTTCTCCTCATCCCCCAATATGAGATTCAAATTGATATTCATCATGAGTTATTAAAAGTTATCTCATTCATCTCTCATTCAATTGTTCTAGAATTCTTATTCTCGCTCTCGATCTTTTGATTTTTTGCTCTTGGTGTAAATCAAACACATTTGTGGAGTATTTTAAATATGTTGGATTTTAAATATATTGGATTTTAAACTGTCATATAATTTTTTCATTTATAGACTGTAATTTAAACCATAACTCTTATTTATTCAAATTTTATTAATATATAAAGACCAAGTGTAACTTATATGATCGTTAAATATTCTCTAATAAAACCAGTAAAACTTCAAAATCATTAAAATTTACGGCTACCGTCGCATTACACGAGTACACAACTAGTTTGTTTAGAAACATGAAACAATATAAACTACTTCCAATTTTTAAGGCACATTCAAAAGGTTTTAAAATCTGGTTCATATATGTATCTATACTAGGGGTGCTCACGGCTCGGGTTGATCGGTTTGGAGCCGTTTTAACAATCCAACCCAATGTTGGCGGTTTGAAAATTTTCAACCCAACCCAACCCAAACAAAAGTTCAACCCAACCCAACCCAACCCGTTCGGGTTGATCGGGTTGTGTTTAAACAATGTAAAATCACATAAAAATAAAAGAAACTTTCCTTTGAAATACGACCGACCATTCAAGATAATATGCAAGTTCATCAAATATTTAGATATTACAATAAAAATGTTTAAACCAAATGATAATACATCAATCAACAACAATAGTTTTAGACGTTTCCAACCCCGATGCTTTCGCTTTCTTGACGTTGAGGTTGGTCATGTCATGATTGTCATCTACAATTCAAAGCTAAAGTTAAGGTCGGGTTCATCGGGTTGGTCGGGTTTTTTTGGGCCTGACCCGATTCCAACCCAATAAGGTCGGGTTGGCTAATTTTTTTTATCGATCATGCATCGGGTTACCTCGGGTTGGTTTTTTTTTTTAAAATTCGGGTTGGGTTAGTCGGGTTCATCGGGTTTTTGAGCACCCCTAATCTATACTATATTAAAAAGATGAGGTTATCTTGAATATTATAGAGTTACAATCAATTAAAGATATTGTACAAGTTCTTAAAAGCTTACAACCTCCTACGATCTTCCACCAAATCATTTCAATTTTGAAATTACATGTTATACTCTTATAATTAATGATTTGATTTATCTTATATCATTTACATTTTCATTTTTTATTCTACACCCCTTTCATATTAACATAAATAATCATGTATGGAGTAAAATGCATTGAAAAAATAATTTTCTTGTTTTTATAAATTATACCATTATATCGTTTCGTCAATACCTTCAAATTGAGTCCAATATTGAATATTTTTTTTTATTTATAATACTATTAAATATCATGAATACATACGAATTAATTTGTTTTATATCCATACATTTTCATTTTTTATTTTACACCTTTATTTTATTAAAAAGAGCAAAATGCACAAAATATCAATTTACTTACATAAATTTCTTTATTATAGCATTGTACTTTCAGTTTTTCTTATTATAGCAATGTACTTTCAAACTATTTTTTATTAGAACATTGTACTTTGAAAAATTTACCCATTATAGCATTGGGTAACCTATTGTTTAAATTTACCTTTTATACTAGGTTTCCATGCCACCTCATTATCCATGTAGGCTGTCCACATGTACTATAGTGATGTAACTTTCTTACTACATCATTGTATTATCAAAATTATTTTATTATAGCATCTACTAATTCTTACTAAAAACTGTATTTTTAATTTTAATATTTAGATATGTTATTTAATATATATATTAAATGAATTAAAAAAAATCTAAATTATTCATTAATATACCAATATCATTAAAACTAGTAGAACACAACTTATCTCGCTAATATTTTTTTTAAAAATAAGTTTTTGAAGAAAAAAAAAATAAGAATTTTCATTTTTTACCAAAAAATGTTATCTTTTAAAGAATATATTATATTTGTTCAAAAACTTTTATTTGACGTTTAAATATATTAAATTAATTAGATTTTTTTTGAATTATTTATTAATATAACAATATTGAAAAATTGTAGATCACAATTTATTTCGTTAACATTTTAAAGAGAACTTTAAAATATGTGTATTTATTTGAACAACATAAAATAAGAAGTGTTACTTTTTTTACAAACAAAATATCTATATCTATACTATATTATAATGCATTTGGCTAAAACTCTTAAAAACTCTTAAACTCTTAAAACTCTTAAACCCGTTCATC